TCCTTCATAAAACCTCCCAGATTGTGCCTGAAACTCGTTTCAGGATCCAAACAAGTTGAAACCTGCTGCGTGTTGAGTTCCTCACTTCCATGGGGGTCTTCTCCATCTGTCCATGTGGCCGCACGAATGGCCAACCTGAGTTGTATCTCCATAGCATCACCATGGAGTTTCCCCATTAGCAGTAAATAAGTTAACCATTTCACCCAAGAATGCTGCTTCTGTTTCCTTGGCTATCTCCTGGCTTACCTCGTTAAAGCTCTAGAATTATCCATCGTAAAAATATTGGCTTTAGGGATAGACAACCCCCTTTCCTATAAAATGTATTCTTTACTCAGCTCAATTTCAACCCTTTTTTTTTTTTTTTTTTTGCAGTTAGGATTCATTCAAGGAAGAATCCGTTTCACGCATTTCGACTAAAGTTTTGCATTTATGCTGTTAACGCTTTATGGACATTAAGTTTTGCTTAATGTCCGGATAGTCAATAGCTAATGGAACAGTGGAATTGAAAGTAACAATGGAATTAAAAAGGACAAATGCATGACTGCTGAATGACCAAGGAGAGGCTAAATGCCTGGTCAAAAACACAGCATGTGGACTAATGCATTTAAATTTCAGAAAGGCAAGCTATAGTTGAAAGGCAAGTTAAGCAAAAAAATAAAATAAAAATAAAACAGTGGTTCAGTAAGGGGACCTATTACTCAAAGAAATGATGGGCTCCACTTTATTAGGAGCCCTAGTGGTGCAGTGGTTAGAATGCAGCATTGAAAGCTAACACTGCCCACTGCCAGCAGTTCGATCCTGACCGGCTCAAGGTTGACTCAGCCTTCCATCCTTCCAAGGTGGGTAAAATGAGGGCCCAGATTGTTGGGGGGCAAGATGCTGATTCTGTAAACCGCTTACGAGAGTGCTGTGAAGCATTATGGGTCAGTAAGTCTAAGTCCTGTTGCTATTTATTAGATGTGTTAGATCAGAAACCAGACACCTAAGGGCTTTAATTTCCTGTGCTAAACATGAATGGACTCGGTGCTCTGAAAGGACCTTTTACTTATTCTGTTAAAGTAATGGCCAGGTCAGGTGGTTGTTTTTCAAAATGGGCTTTAAATTCCAGTTTTCAAAAGTGTGTTACACCTGTCCTTTCCTCTAGAAGGATGCTTATAATATTCATGTAAACTAAACACAGAGTTGGATCAGAAGTTTGCCTGGATATTATACGGTCAGTTGGCTGTCACACGAGTTGTGTATTTTCACGGTGGTGTCTCTCCAGCTAAGGCAAAAGGGAAAACTTTTCACTAGCGTGGCTTTTTCACGTTCGAACACTTCCACCATTCCCTTCGGAAGAAGACGCTCTCTTTTTCACTTGCCCTGGGCTCCAGAAATTAATTTAACATGGAAGACTCAGTTTATATCTTTAAGGTACATTCACATTTTGCATTTACATTACAACTGGGTTTGCACGGGTTGAGCTAGCTGCGAACAGCAGCCACGTCTGAAAACACGCTAAGGTTGGTTACGGTGCACCTTGGTTTGTTTTCTTGTGGCTTTACCCAGCTGTGAACTCAGCTAGTCAGTTTCTTTTCAACTAGCCTAGTAACCAGGTTTTGTGTACATTCAGTCTGTTTGCAAAGGGCATCAGCAAAGGAAGAAAACGGCTTCCCCAAAGTTTACTTTCAACTGATGTTTACCTGTCAACTGACGTAGGGTGGCATTGCCACAAATGGAGGAACTTTGGACCCAATCACTGGTTGGTTTGTTAAATTGGTTAAATTTATTTGCCACCTATCTCGCTGTGGGGCTACTCTAGGTTAGCAGTTGATAAGTCTTATTGGAAAATGGCTTTCGGTCTCAGTCTGAACTGTGGTGGCTTAGAATTTATTTCAGACTAAAAGGAAGGCCAGCTGAAGACTGTTTCCATGGGAGAAAGGTCTACTTCTTGGCCCAAAAAATTATCGCTTTGTTAGACAAAGATGAGCAACCTGCCACTCGTAAGATCTATTTTGCGGTGGTTTTGCAAACACTTTTGAGTTAGGAAGCAGGTGAGAATGGTAGCATTCACCCTAAAATGGGCTTAGTCAAATTAAGCCGGGAGGTTAAATGATACGATGAACAGTTTGAAGGTGAAACCAGAGTTGTGTGGAGGAAGAACCCCTAAGTGGGGCGTTAGGAGTTGGAAAGAAGCCTGTGCTTTGTGAGCATTAAAAAAAACTTTTCTTCCTCTGGAAAACTGCAAGCAAAGATCATAAAAAAACTTTTCAACCACTCATAAAGAGGGTTCGTTTTGTTTGCTTTCTTTATAGCGGATGTACATCTCTTTCCCAGCTTGCTGCAGGCAGACATTAATCCCACTAGTCAAAAATCTCAACCTGTGGTCCCTAACCCACAATGTTGCCACAGAGGGCTTGAAAAAATGTTATGATTTAAATCTCAAGTTAAATCTTGGGGGTCCGTGGCCGCAAATGGTATTTAAACGGGGTTCGTGGTGAAGAAAAGGTTGAGAACCACGGTAACTCACCGTTATAGGTAACTCACCCCTGTAGGCCAAAATGAAGTATTCCATGTGCAATGTGTAACATTTTTTAAAACCTCTGGCCTCAAAGTTATAATTGAGTGGCAGTTTCTATAGGAGCTTCAGGAAGTAACTAGCCCGTGACATGCAGGAACATAAGAAAACACATCTTTAAAGCCTCATGCATATGTTGGCACATGCTTAACCACAGACACACAGACACACAAAAATGCATGGGGTAACAAAAAAACAGGATGATGATCTTTATTTCAGTGCTTCCATAAAATAAATATGTCGTATATCAAACAGTGAGAAAAATCAAGCATGAAAAGCATGTAACCAAATAATAATAATAATAATAATAATATTGCTCACAACCACATTGAATACTCTTGAATATTTTAGAAACGAACCCTTATTTACAAGGTAATCGACTATCAAACAAAATGTACAATCTATTTAAAACAAAAAGCCGAGGGAAGTGAACCAATCAAATGGCAACCACGGAAGACCATTCTGATTTTTGTTCCCCCCCCCTCTCCTTTCCTAGCTTAGGGTTAAATACGCCGTTTCTCGCCTCGCTTTATACAAAAGTCACTTTCTATCCCATTATTATTTTTCCAGGAGCATAAATAATGACCCAAGGGGGTGTGTTTCATCTCTCTCTCTCGTTCTTCTCTAGTGTTAGAAAAAGAGTGTCTTTGTACGAGGTCTTCAAGTAACATTTCAAGTAGAAGTTGAACATGTGCAAACCAAAATGTCAGAAAAAAATAATAATGTCCCAAGCGGTAAAAAGTCTCAAAAAAAAAAAAAAAGGTTTGGGGAACCTGATAAAGGATGAAAACTACCCAATTTTTAATCAGGTCTTCCAGGCAGAGAGAATTGGGGGCTGGGGGGGGGGGAAGAAGAGACATTTTAAAACACATCATCATCAAAGCTTCCTGCATCTTTCCCAGTTGTGAAAAGGGGTTGTTGTTGTTTTTTTTGAAGGTGAAAGCACACACAGGTTTAAAGGTTTCAACTCGAGATTTAATATTTTCAAGATGAAAGGGGAGAGGAAGGAGGGGATAAAAAAAAACAAACAAACAAACCCCAAAGCCGCTTTTCAAGCTTTCAAACCAAACACAAAAATTGTTTTAAAAACTTGCTAGTCCTAGGGAAGTCAGTTTGGCTTTTTGTAGGTAACTTGTCTAATTGCGTCCCCTCCCAAATTAAAAAGAGCTCCCGCCGAAAAAACTTAAAAAGAGGAAAAAAGAAAACACACTCGGCTCGTTAAGAGCATGCCGCTCATCCAGCAAAGGACAGACAGGACAGGACAAAGTAGCGTTACAGTTTTCAGGACATGATTATTATTATTATTATTATTTTAAAAAAGCATCGGAATATCGGTGATAACTGAGTGCACCATTCAACGGAGAAGTTTAACGTGCTCGGGAGTGAAAAAAACATTCCACTATTCCTAAGGTCTGTCTTTATTTAAAAAGACCAAAACAAGGAAACAAAAAATAGCAGAGGGAAGATGAGGTTATGAAAATCCAGGGTTTGTTTCGGGGTTTTTTTTTTTTGCCATGTCAAGTTTCAAATGAGCTAATCCAGCTGCTAGCACCTATCTGCTTCTTCATGATTGTGTTGCCTGAAAGTTCGCAAGCCATCGCAATGTTTGCATATGTCCTCTGTTCCCATTAAAAAAAAAAAAAAGACTTGATTTGACATCTCTCAGTGCGTTGTGATTCAAGAAACTGATACTGTAGTGTAGGTAAACTGAGCCGAGGGTGGGTAGCGTGGTAGGATGGGCTTCCCTTTCCACACACACACATACACGCACCCTCCAGAAATGAGAGCCTGGCTTAACATTGGCAGTAAAATGCGGTACGTTAGGTCGACATGAGATCCTTAGAGGAATCCAGAAGGAAAAAGTCACTTTCCCCCCCCCCCAAAGGATTCTTCTGAAAACAAAAAGCATCCTGCCTCCGTTGCCCGGTTCTTCATTCTTTTCCCGCCTAGAACTGCAGCTTTGCCAACTCTGAAAGACAGCGTGCTTTTTTTTGTTGTAGGAGTGTGTGATCGAAAGAAAGAAAGAGAGAGAGAGAGAGAGAGAGAGAGAGAGAGAGAGAGAGAGAGAGAGAAAGAAAGAAAGAAAGAAAGAAAGAAAGAAAGAAAGAAAGAAAGAAAGAAAGAAAGAAAGAAAGAAAGAAAGAAAGAGAAAGAAAAGAGGATTCCCAACTGGTACCAATGAAGAGCTTCAAGTAAAAAAACAAAACGAAAACCCCAAAATAACCCCAGTAAATCCCCGGCTTCGGGTCTCGCCACGGGCACTTTCCTCTCGTGAAAAGCGGCAAGACTTTAGCCAGGAGTGTAACAGCCAGTTGTTGTTGTTGTTTTAAGCATTCAAACCAAATCAGTTGCGTCCCGAAAAAAAGAACATCAAAGTCGTTCCGTCACACCGTCCTTGCATCCTTGTTTAAGAAGCTGCTTGCTTGCTTTTTTTTAAAAAAGGGGGTTTATGGTTCCGCCCGGTTACGATACCCCCGACGGTGAAATCTAGCCCAGTCCCTCGCCAAAGCCGAGTGTCATTTGCGATTCTGGGTCTTCTTTGGCACGGCGGGCCGCTTGGGTTGCCACAAGTGGTTGTGAATTGTCAGAGCGTCTACGCTGACCGACATGGTTTTGGCCGGGATCAGGTTGAACTGCTTTCTGTCCGAGCTGTACTTGTACAGCTTGTCGATCATTTTCTTGGTGATGCTCTTTGGGCCCGTTCCGACCAGCTTGGAGATCTCTTCGGTGTCGGGATAGTAGCAATAAAGTGCTCTGAACTGACAGCCAGCATCGCGGAATAAAATGATGTAGTGGTTGGCTTCGCTCTTTTCGAGCTCCTGCGGGCGGAAAGAGGAGATTGAGGGCCGGGAAAAGCGAAGGGTTCAAGGGGCCCTTGGTTGAGTTGGTAATGAAGAGGGCAAACCTCACGGCCTGCTTGCATGGATGATGTTACCTAGTTGGGTCATGAGAGGTCTGCAAGGAAACCACCAAGCTCAGAGAGCACCAAGGACCCCACAGTCCTCTTCCTCCTCCTCCACTCAACAGACCCCACTCCCTTCTAGCACTGATGATGTTACCTAGCTGGGTCATGAGAGGTCTGCAAGGAATCCACCAAGCTCAGAGAGCACCGAGGACCCCACAGTCCTCTTCCTCCCAATCCTCCTTCTTTTCTTCCACTCCACAAACCCCACTCCCTTCTAGCACTGACAATGTTACCTAGTTGGGTCAGGAGAGGTCTGCAAGGAAACCACCAAGCTCAGAGAGCACCAAGGACCTCACAGTCCTCCTCCTCCTCTTCCCCTTTTCCTCCTCTCCACAAACCAACCCCCTACTAGCACTTTTACCTAGTTGAGTAATGAAATGTCTGCCAGCAAGCAACCAAACTCAGAGAGCACCAAGGACTCCGCAGTTCTATCCTCGGGTACAAATATTCCCTGCTATCGGTATTCTAGGAATTTACACCAGTGTGAACAGCGTGCAGACCCAAGAGGTGGGCACGGAGCTTCACGCTAGGCTTCCAGCCTTGTAACTGGACAATTTTCATTGGACGGAGTCCCACAGATGCTACATGTAGTTTGAACTAGGATTTATCGAATTCATCACAGCTGGAAAGGCTGGAAAACATTATGCCAAGCCATCACCTCTACCGTTTCGGTTCATGCATCCTGGGCAGAAGCTTGGGGAAAAGTCTGTCCAGCACTCCCCCCCCCCCCAAGAAAACTGGGAGCCAATCTAGTCTCCTTGAACAGATGACGACCAGTTAATCAGATGACCTTACGGACTCCGGAGAAAGACTCACCTCCAGGATGGAATTCTTGTGAGGCTCGTTCACTTTTCCAGCAAGGCAGCAGTGGGAGATGGCGTTGTGAATGATGGACTTGTTGGATTTGCTGCTCGGCTCCTTAAAGAGCTTGGGGCCTGGAAAGAGATAAAGCAGGGAAAACATTCCTTGTTATCGAATCAAGCTAACAGCTCCGTCCACTCGTCCACCTCGCCCTTTGGTTTCAAAACAGGAGGCGAACTTGAAATCTCCCACTCAACAAGGACGTCGTTTCTCTTTTGGCGAGGGATTGTCCTGGTTGACTCGCTATGCAGCCTATTTGCAACCGGACAACAATAACAGGAGGGGGAGAGGGAAGGGAATGGGAGTGTCATGTGTCTGATTAACGAAACACTTAAAAGGACTTTCAGGCATATTTTTATCCTAAAAGCATTTATTAAAGTTACAGAGATGTCAGTACGGCATGGTGGAAATGCTTAGATCTGAGATTCTTTTCCGTTGCACATACATTCCAGGCATTTTTCCCTGCCTCTATTTTGGGGTCATGGTTCACATCTTCCAATTAACTTGGAAGATGTGATTTACTTCCGGTTTCTTTTTCCCGAGCTTTCCTTATATTCTCCTCCCCTTTTATTTATTTATTTATTTATTTATTGAATTTATATACCGCCCTATCTCCCTTACGGGACTCAGGGCGGTGAACAGGCGATAATAAAACCACGATAAATATACATGAGTTTCTGTTCTAAAATCAAATTAAATAACAGGCCTGCTCTAAAAGTACCCCATACAAAACCCCCACTAAAACATAATCAAACTACGCCAGGCCGGCCGCACGGAATAGATGGGCCTTCAGGGCTTTCACTGTTGCCTGATTTAACTATAAAAATACCAGACAGTTCTGCATATTGTCAAAGCAAGAATATACAGTATTTGCAGCGTTGACAGTGAGGGTGGTCTGGAAACTTCCAACTCCAAAGTCATCCTTTCTGGGAAGGCCATCCAAGGCAGACAGATCGTTCTCAAAACCACCCAGGTGCACAACCAATTGGTGGGCAAAAGACCATGGGAGGACCAGGGGGAGAGAAAGAGAATTTATCTTATGCTTTTTGCGCACAAAATGTTAGAACTGGCCTTTCCACTTCTGTACCCACATGGCTTTTCAGTAAAGGAGGGGAAAAAAACCCAAAAGTCTCAGGAGTTTTTGCTGCTGGCTGGCATTTTGGGACGGTTGACACGGATCAACTTTGGAGGCTGTGCAGAAACTGCTCGGATAGATCGATCCACTCGCCTGTATATTCTGCCACCGAGGCAATCGAGGAGGCGGTCGACGTGTTCTCCCAATCGCGCTCCATGTTTCGGCTTGGGTTCCTGCTCAGGATGGGCAAGGATTCCATGGACTCCACTCTGCCAGAAGAAAGACAATCCCACAGTCCGTATGTTTTCAATAAAGAAGATTATTGGTGGCTCAGGGATGACAAAAGGGGTCCTTGGTGCTCTCCGAGCTTGTTTGTTTTCCTGAAGACGTTTCGTGACCCAAACTAGGTAACATCATCAGGGCCGTTACCTACTTTGGTAATGAAACACCGGCAAGAAAACGAGCAAGCGCAGCTACGGTTTGTAAACAGGGAGCGAGTCACACTCATTGGCACTGATGAGGTTACCTAGTTGGGTCACGAAAGGTCTGAAAGAAAACAACCAAGCTCAGAGAGCACCATGGACCCCCCCCCATACACACATATTTTCACCTGGATCGTCTCCAGTCCAAGAAAGAGAAAAACCTGCCACTTAAATTAAGCTGCTTTCACTTCCTTCATTGCCAAAAAGATTAAAAATAAATAAAATAAATCAGCTGGATAGAAATACTTTCTTCTAGATTTTTTTTGAAGCGTAGCTGAAAAAAAAAAAATCTTTCTACAGATGAGTTAGCAGAAGGCCCATACATTTCCTGATGGTTATTTTTCACATGTACAGATAGCCTTTGACTTACAACAATCCACTTAGTGACTGTTTGAAGTTACAACAGCGCTGAAAATTTACGACCATTTTTCACACTGACCACCACTGCAGCATCCCTGTGATCACATGATCAACATTCAGCCAATTAGCAACCGGCATGTATTTATGACGGGTTGCAGTGTCCCCCCCGAGGGGGGGGAATTGTGATCCCCTTTTGCGACCTTCTGACAATCAAAACCCAGGGAAATTTCACTTAACAATTGTGGCAAGGTAGGTCGTAAAATGGGGCAAAAATCCACAAAACAAATGTCTTGCTTATTAGCAAGAGGCTCAATTGTGACTGTAAGCTGAGGACTCCCTGTTCTTCTAAAGGGGAAAGGTAGTTACCCATCTGTTGAAATTCTTGGATCATGGTCAAACAAGGCAGTAAAAAGGGAAATATCCCTCTTTTATTCCCAAATTGTCTTGCTGACGGGCGCTCCTACCTTTGGGAAGGGGTGCCCCCCGAATGGATGCTCTCGGGCTCGGTTGTCGCTGCCGATGCCAGGGACAAGCTGGACCCCGACTGGGCGCTGCTCAGGTTATCAGCTGACCGGAGGAAGAAAGGAGAGAGGTTGTAAATACAGCGAAACAATTTTGAGCATCCTCGGATCCATTCAAGGCCAAAAGCGGGGCTGTGCCTTACGGGTAGAGGAACACTTGGTGCCCGAATCGCTGTAGGATTCCTCTCGGTGGACCGACTTGGGCCGCGGCTTCTTCGCTTTAGGCCTGGGCTTGCCCAAACCCTGCTCTTCCAAAATCTGCTGCTGCTTTCGCCGCAAATACTCTTGCTTGATGAGTTCCCGCCGGGCTTTTTCCTCCTCCTTCCGCAGACGGTCTTCTTCGGCTTTGCGTCTGCCCAAAAAAAATAAGGAGGGGATTCCAGACTCTCAAAAGGAGGGACAGAGGAACTCAAAGGCAATGGGGAAGTAGCCCCCAACCAGCTTCCGACTTCTTTCTCCTTCCTTACGGAAGGGGGGGAAAAAAAGATACTTACCGAGCTTCGTCCCTCTTTTGTTCAACTTCTGCCTCCAGCTGCTGCTTCCGAAGCCGGGTCTCTTCGGCCTTGCGCTGCTGTTTTAAGAGAAAAGCAGCCCGTTTCTTCGCCAACTCATCTTCGGCTTTCTGTTCGTCCTAGGAAAAAAAAGAAGGAATGTCCAAATATTGCCCAGATCGATACGGAGAAAATACACAGGCGGTGGCTTTCCTAATCATGCAATTGTCCTTTCGTCGGTTTACAATAAACTCCCAATAGTTAACTCTTGGGCTAGCTAATAGATCTCCCAAGACCCTGATATCCCTTTTGGAATCTTTTATATGACTCTCAGAACCCGAACGTTTTTAAACTCAACAATACGGCATTTTTATGTTGGTCTTTTGACTATCCCAGGTTCAACTAAGCAGATATGGAAATTCCTAAGTCTGCAATTTTGACCTCTGTTTGGGGGGGGGGAATAAACAAGACACACACATGCATATATGTATATAATAAATCAACTAGCTCCTACTGGTCACATCAACACCTTAATAAAACGTCTTCCCCATTTCCTTTTAATGATTGCACCCAAAATGACAGTAAAGCCCTAGTTAATTACAAAAGTTTTAACACAGGCTTCTTCCAGCTGCGATGTCCCCAATCTGCGGTCTTCCATTTTCCAGAGTTCTCTGCCATGCCAATGTTGGCTGGGAAATTGTTAAGAATTAAAGTCCAGATTAGGGAACACTTCCAATATACTGTGGTTTTCAGAAAGAGAAATGAGACCGTGTTCAGATTAACTACATTTCCCCTTAAACAGTATCCTCCTAACAAAAACACTTTGGACTGTAACGTTATGTAGATACATCCTGAGCAAAAAATTGCCACCGACTCCCTTCTGTGATTAAATGTGAGTCGACAGAAAGTTACAACTTCACTCCAAAACTATTTCCCCAAACACAAACACCTGCAAGGTTACAACTTTGCTCTGAAAACATTTCCCCCCCCCCAAAAAAAATCCCAAACACGCCAAATGACACAATGATGCCATTGTTTTGCCAAATAAAAATATCTGCTAACTTGCACTCCTGCCTCCAGGCAGGATAGGAACCTGGAATTATTCCAAGTGGTTTTTGATCTTGGTGGTCCCTACCTTGAAGAAGAACCCAACTCCTGGTTTCTGATCCGTTTCGTTCATCAAATCCGAAGAGCTGCCCTGGCTTTCCACTTCTTCGTCGGCAGCTTTTAAATCCGAGAGGTCCACTTCGATGAGGCTACCTTTGCTCTTGGAAGCTTCTTCCATGTGGATGTTCTCCTTGCCCGAGACCTCGAAGCAAGCCAGGTGAAAGTCTTCCACGTTGCTGTTCACATCTTTGAGGGCTTCCGTGAGGATGTTGGTGTCTTTGGAAGAGGACAAAACCAACGGCCCTCTCTGGTTATCGTCGCAGAGCCGGTAATTCTCAAAGAAAAACTTCTCCTGAGGAGTGCTC